TACATTAGCCAAGGTTAAAATGAAGGAGAGAATCCTAGAAGCAGCAAGAGATAAGGGGACAGTCACCTATAAAGGAGTTCCCATCAGACTGTCAGTGGATTTCTCAAAAGAGACCTTACAGGCAAGAAGGAGCTGGAAAAAAGTATTCCCAAGTCATGAAATCCAAAGACCTACATCCAAGATTGCTCTATCCAGCAAAGCTTTCATTTAGAATGGGAGGGCAGATCAAGTACTTCTCAGATAAGATCATATTCAAGGATTTCATCATCACCAAGCCCTTATTATATGAAATGTTAAAGGAACTTATCTATGAAAAAGAAGATGAAAAAGATGAACAGTGAAAGGATAGCAAACTCACAGTTATTAACAACCACACCTAAAACAAAAGCAAACTAAGAGAACAGCTAGATCAGGAGCAGAACCATAGAAATGAAGATCACATGGAGGGTTAGCAACAGGGGAGTGGGAGAAGGATAAAGGGGGAGAAGGTATAGAAAATAAGTAGCATAGACAGTAGATAGAAAATAGATAGGGGGAGGGCAAGAATAGTATGGGAAATATAGAATCTAAAGAACTTGAGACACGTGGTCATATACTAAAGGGGGGAATGGTGGGGGAGGGGTGTGCAGGGTGGAGGGGAATGAAGGGGGGAAATAGAACAACGGTAATGGCATAATAAATAAAATATATATTTTAAAAAGAACTATATTTAGTTTAGTGCATGCAGTTTGGAAAGGAAACGGTGATGACAAAGCAGATCTTTTCCAGTTTACTAAGGCCTGGGCATGACAGCCTAAGTTCACAGCAGTGATGTCCCACAGCTTTCCTTTTTATTAAAGAACTAAAGAATTATAGCCCAGAAAAGAGAAGAGTAAGGGCAACTGTTATATATTCTGCAGGATGTGAGGTGCAGCTGGGGAGGAAGATCCAACTCAGAGATGATAGACAAAAAAATATTTGAATGATTTTGGCAAACAAGAAAAATTATTGTATGTTTAACAAAAAGCCAAAATTTGAAGGGAATTGGGGGAAATGTCTGAAATAAACATGTCAGACTGATTGAACAGTGTGTGCAAATCTGTAAGGAAAATCTCAAGATCCTAATAAATAAGTGCAGAAGATGTCCATACATCATTCATAAATGAGGATACATAATAGACAAACCTGTGAGTACTCATTCTCACTAACAATCAGAGAAATGCAAGGAAAAGGGGAATCACATTTTTGTTCATTAAGTGAGTAATTTGTTAAGCTGATAAACCTGGTTTTAAAGAGGGTGAAAAGAACAACAACAAAAAAGAGGATGAAGACTTCATCCATTGACAAAGTGGCTATAAAAGTAGTTCCAAATTGCCACAAAGCATTTTGACAGCAGCCATTAATTAGAGTTGAATATGGTCTGTGAACTGGTAAGTCCAACTCCAAGAATCCTAAAAACAAAAGTCTTGAATAGAAGTTATGCATAAATACATTTATATCATTATTATTTCTATGTCAAACTGGGAAACAAATTAGATGTTTAGAAGTTAGGGAATGGCTAAGTAAACTGTGGCATATCTTCTCACTGGAATAGTATGAGGATGTAACAGTAAGAGAAATGTATGTTAAATAAAAAGAAGGGTGCAAAATTGAAATACAATATAATAAATAAAATATAAAAACCAAGGAAGAGCTGAAAACTTCTGTCTGACCACAAACCTAAATGTGGAGGTTTATAGCAGCTCTGTTTACAACAGAACTTGGAAGCACATGAGATGTCCTTCATTCAGTGGGAAATGGACAAATGAACTGTGGTACATCCAGATAATAGAATATTTTCTAGCACTAAAAAGAAGTGGGCTAACAAGCAATGAAAAGACATAGAGGAAATTTAAATCCATGTTACTAAGTGAAAGAAGCCAATCTAAAAAGGCTATAATCTGTATGATTACAAATGTATGACATTCTGGAAAAGGCAAAACTATGGAGAGAGTAAGTAGATGAGTAGTTGGCAGAAGCTGAGAGGTGGAGGGACAAACAGGTGGACCACAGAAGGTTTTTGTGTCAGTGAAACTACTCTTTATAATACTACAATATTAGACACATTATACTATATTTGTCTAAACTCATAGAATGTACAACACCAAGAATCAACCCTAAGGTAAATGATGTACTTTGGGTGATAATGATCTGTCAATGTAGTTGTAACAAATGTACCACTCTGGTAAAGGATATTGGTAATGGGGGTTGTTGTATATCTACAAGGAGGTGGTGGGGGTGGGGTATATGGGAAATCTCTGTACCTTGCTCCGCAATTTTGCTGTGAACCAAAAACCTCTCTAAGGAATGAAGTCTGTTAAGAAAAGTACCACAAGAGGAAAAAGACCGGAAATGAAGGTTTGTGTTATGTATTTATGAAGGTTGTACTTTGGTTATGATAGACTTACTTTCTTTTGTTTCCATGCCTGTAATTACCATTTTAAATCATGAACATGAATTAATGTATAACTTAAAGTGGAAAGAAAAAAGTAAACATTTTAGGAGTTTAAACAGCTACAAAATGAAGCTTGACATGTGCTTGTATGTTTAAGAAGTTCTGAGAGTTTCTGATCCCTTGTTTTGTCTTAGCAATCAGAGCTTTGTAAACATACATCTTTTTCAGCTACTTGTGAATTTACATAATTGATTATGTACTCTAAGGCCATGACCAGTTAGAATTTCTGCTTCCAGTAAAAATAAGCCATCTTTGGGGAAGCTCAGTGTGAATTGTTTTCTTGGAATTTTTCCCACTATGTGTGTAATTCAGTCTTTGTTTATGTTTCAAATTTTAGGACTACATTAGAATAGCATATTTTCTTTTATTAAATATATCTAGGTATTTATTTGTGTTTAATTTACTGTTTTTAAAAGATTATACAATCAGGTGGTTTAAAAATTAAAATTAAAAACCTAAACAACAAGACACTGAAATATAACCAAGACACTGAAATAGAGAACAGGCTGACAGTGACCAGAGGGGACAGGGGAGGGAATTTCAGAGGAAAAGGGGAAGGGTTTACAGGAACTAGTGTAAAGGACACATGGACAACAACTAAGGGAGGTGCAAGTAGGAGGGAGGTGGGGAACACTAGGAGGGTGGACTGGGATGGGAGTAAATGTCAGAAGAGTGTACTTGAACAACAATTAAATAAATTAATTTAAAAATAAAATAAAAAGCTGAGTAATCTAAATATATATAGTGACTACTACCCTCCCTATTCAGTTTCCCATCTGTTCAGCTCCTAAACACCCCCATTCTAAGGAACCACTGATTTTAAATTCTTATGGATACTTCCAGAGTTTCTTTATTCATATATATAAAAATACTAATAAGTAGATATTTTTTCTTATTTTCCCCTATTTTTTTCAAAAAGTATCACATTTTATATTTTTCAGCACCTAGATTTTTCACTTAATAATGTGTCTTTTCTTATTCAGATTTTATTTCAGATTCTTCATCCCTCTTTACAGCTACAGATGATTCTAAGAATAGATTTGTAGATTCATCATAATTTCCTTAATCAGTCCCTTGCCGATAGACAGCTGGGTTGTTTCCAATCTATTGCTATTACCAACAGCACTGTAATGACTCATGCATACATTTTCATACATGTGCAAGAATATCTACAGAATAAATTCCTAGAAATGAAATTGCCAGGTCAAAAATTATAAGCCTCTGTAATTCTGATAGCCCAAGTTATTCTGATTTGCACATTTTTCTCCCTTAAGAAGGGATTATATTCATACCTACAATACTTCTAAGTGCCTGATTCCCCACACATTTGCTAAAAGAGTTTTAAGGCTTTGCCTTAAACTCAATGACTTCTATTCTGATATTTTTCATATAATCACTAGATGGAGAAAGGAAGTGCAGTATGTTTTAACTTGGAGTTCTTTCATGAAAAGTTTTAGCATGTTTTCATAGGTAAGAGCCTTTCCTCTGATGTGAAAACTGTCTATCACCTTCATTCATTTTGATTACTAAGCAGGCAGTCATATTCTTATGGATTTCTAGAGATTCTTTATGTATTAGGAAGAGAGCCTCTCTTGATAACTACCTCTCTGACTAGAAAATGTGCCCAAAACAAGAGATTCTAAAAGGGCCTTTCCTCTGGGTTGCTGGAACCAATGGGATGCATTTATAAAAGACCATTCAGGGAAGTATGTGGACTCCACTCCATACATGATGTCAAGAACAGGTTTCACATCAGGACAGCCTGTGTTTGCGGCTTTCATGTAGGCTGCATACTAACATTGTCACTTAGAGAAAATCATTTATCATTAAGTCTTGGTTTTCTTATCTCTAATATTAGACTTATCAGCCCATCCCTTTGTGCTATCATGGATAACACATAGAAAGGATCTGACACTACAGTCAGTGATTGAGAACAACACCCCTGTGGTTGCATTCACTTAGCCTGAACTGAAGGTAAAGTTACAGCAGGAGAAGAAAGCATGAACAATCACAAGGACCCCCAGGACTTCCAGGTGCAACTCTCCAAGGTCCTGTCTCATTTGCACAGGAGCTGCTCTGTTTTCAGCTATGAACCACAAAGATGTGTGCAAGGAATCTTGGTTTTAGAAGAGCTCAAGCAGAAGTTTCTACTGATAAATCTTAATACCTTACTCGTGATATAGCCGAGCCAGGCTGTATAACCAATGAAACCTTGAGTAAAACCATAAATCTATACATCCCTAAGAGATGTAGAGAGGCTGGCCCTGGGTGTCTCCAGGATTTTTGAACTTTGAACAGCCTATTATAAATCACTAACTAGCTCATCTCATTGTTCTTGTCTTGGCCGAGGGTCAGTACCAGACCTCCAGACATCCCTGGAGATAAGCAAAGAGCAATTAATCCCAGTTCAGCTATAAGGTAACCCTATCTTACAAAGGTACACAGGGAAAATTAGAAATTCTTGCTTCCTTTCCTTTTTCCTGGAACAAACCTGCCTTTCCTTTACCAGGACCCTTTTCTTCTACAGCTCAGGGGAGACTGTTACCAGTGTGACCAGCTTGGCCCCATTGCAGCCCAAGAAGAGCAAGAGGTCAAAGGAAAACACTGATGTTCCTCCCGCAGTTCCTGCTAAAGGTAGGAAGCCAGCCTGCTATTATCCATGGGGAAACCACCATGACTGATCCAGTAGTTGGCCAGGGGTTTGATGTGGGGTCACAGGGTGAGCAGACAGATGGAGGACATGCCATGTAATGATTATATGGTCCAGAGAACCCCATCTAGATTCTGGTCATAACTGAGCCCCATCCTGGGGTGGGGCTGGTGGTGGTACCATTGGCCCAACATGGCTTTAGCAGGGATGTGGGAGGTTAACATCACAGACTGATTCCACAGTGTATTTTACTTTGAACTATCAATATGCTCTGCACATAGTGGGGAGGGGCAAGAGGATGTCATATCTTCTTGGTTCATTCAAAGGAAAGAAGGCTCTTTGCTTGTTCTAAAGATGTAAACCAGGTATGTAATTTATGTTATATTTTTTCTGAGGATAAAACAAGGGTCATTCTTTGATTCCAGTTATGACTTAGAGGAACATAAATGAGGAGGGAAAGATATTTGTGGAGGAGAGAACTGCACACATCTTAGGAGAATTAAGACTGTCTATAGATAGTTTCTGAAATAATTGTGGCCAAGTTAAGAGAAGTTCATACCTCAAAAATTTGAAATATTTTTTGGAAGTTGGAAGTACTAGGATTACCCAGATAAATATCTCAATAATGAAGCAAGGTACATTTTATCCTTTGTTTTACAGGATGTTTCCTAGGGATACTTGGAGCCCTGTGGTGAAGTCCAGTTGTGCTAAGGCTGCACATGTGTTGAGTGGGCAGAGGGGCTGTATGACATGGTGTTCTTTTAGGCATTACAAGTGCAGATCTGGGAAGGGAAGGGGGCAGAGAACCCCTGCCTGGGCCAGACACATGCTGCTCTAATGTCTCATCAGAGAAGATCGTACCTCCCCTTCAAAAGGGTGACAATGAGCCTCAGAGAGCTAAGTAGTAGAGCCTGACTTTGAAGTGAGATCTGCCTGACTTTCAAGGCCAAGTTCAAGTCTCAAATAAGCTAAATACTAATTATGTTAGTATTTAGGGGGCATTAGGGAAAGGGCCTCAGTTTCCTTCTCTTTAAGGGTCTCAGTTCCTTTCTCAGTTTCCACCCTCCCTGATGACCAATGAGAGCTGCTGTAACAGCCAAAGGTCATTGTTGTCAGTGTTAGTGTGCAGTTAGGACCCCAGGGAAGGTACCAGCCTCAGCCTTTACCAATCCTATGTGTTTCTCATCTGCACATCTGACCTTGTTGCAGAGGGCAATGCTTTATACAGAGTTTTTTGTTGAACTTTATGAGGGGAGAGGCTGACATGTCCAAGGACTAGGAGGGGCACCCACCGATACCTAGATGAGAAACTAGAGTTCTTTCATTGGAGTAGGAAGAGTCCTTCTGTCCCCGTAGAGTATGTCTGTGATGCTCATAAGATGTGGGTGTTAAGAAGAGTCCCAGGGGAAATTACAAGCTGAACCCTTGACATACTTCCACAGCTCCCATAGCTGCCACCTTCCATAAACCGAAGCTGCTGAAACCACAAAGGAAAACCACCCTGGTGAGTAATTAAATTCTGTGTTGTTGTCCCCTCAAACCTTTAACACACTTCTGGGTCCAAGTGGTACTTTTATTGACTCAAAACATGTTGAAAGTCCCTGGTGCTCTCATCCCAAGCTGGAGCATTCTGTCTTCTTGGAGCAGCTTTTGAGCCAGCTTTTCTACATACGTAGTTCCATCATGTCTTTCTTACAATCCAAGTGGAATTCTTCATTATAAATGCTGCTTTCAAACAGAAGAAAAAGGTCACACTCAGGAATGTATAAAATAGAAAGTGGACCTGCATGTATAAATTTACCTGATAGCCACAGTGAAGAACCTTAAAAGAAATTCATTATAGTTTTTTTTTTATTTTGAAATAATTTTAGGCTTACAGAAGAGTTGTAAAGCTAGTACAGTTTCTGTCTACTTTTTGCCCAGCTTCTCCTAATGTTAACATCTTACATAGCCATGGAATAATGTCAAAACTAAGAAATTTTCCTCAGCACATTAGCACTAACTATATTTCCAATTTTGACCAGATTTCAGCAGTTTTCCACTAACTTTCTTTTTCTGCTCCAGGATCCCATCACTTTGCACTTAGTCTCTCAATCTGTGACAGTCCCTCCATCCTGTCATTTTCTTTCATGGCCTTGAGATTTTTGAAGAGTAGAAGCCAGTTATTTTTTAAAATTTCCCTTGATTTGGGTTTTTCTGATGATTGGAATAGGGTGACAGATTTGGGAGAAGAACAACACAGAGGTGATACTCCCTTCTGGTTGCATCATATCAGATGTACATGATGTCAGTATATCTGATTAATGGTGGTATGAATCTATCACTTGGTTAGGTGGCATCTGCCAGACTTATTCAGTACCAAAGTACTGTTTTTTCCTTTTCACATCCTATTTATTGAAAGCCAGTCAGTAAGTCCTATTCATATTCAAGGGGGGAAGAGTGGAGAATTTGTGGACTTGTCAAAACCACCAGAGTAATTAATAAATACATTAGGGGAGTTACATCAAGATTATGCAAATATTCTTTTTTTCCCTTAAACTTCATTCACTGCTTTTAGCATTCATCAGTGGATTTTGCTATAGTATATTAATAGTCATTTTTTATTTTCTTCAACCTGACTACATTTATTATTTAAAGTTCTTTTGTAAGGAAAAGATGAATGAACCCTTCCCTCATTTATTTATTCATTAAATTTTTATATCAGTATGGGTACATGGATATTTAATTTTTTAAATTTCTAATCATATTGATGCTTATTTTGGTACTAATGTACATCAGTTGTGTAGGGGGGGAGAAACTGCCAAACCTATACTAAAATGCATATGTAGTAAGAAGGGGCAAGATATTTCTGAAGAAAAAGAACAAAGTGAAGAGTTTATATATCAACTCCAAAGATTTATATAAACACCACAGTACTTAATTCAACATAGTAAGAGCACAAAGGTAGAAAAATAGACCAAAGGAACAGAATAAAGAACCCTGAACCAATCTACATATGTATTGTCTCTTGACTTATTACAAAAGTGACATTATAATGTAGTGAAGAAGGGTGTATCTTTTCAATATATGATAATGGGTCTATTGCCTATCCATCTGAAAAAAAGATATCCAGAACCCCTACTTCAAATCACACACAGAAATTAGAGAAGGATCATAGACTGAAGTAAAAAAAAAAGTTAAAAATAAAGCCTCCTAAACATAGCATATCTCCCTAACTTCAGGGTGGGCAAAATTTTTTAAACAAGACACATAAAATACCAACCATAAAAAAAAGATTGAAAAATTTAGATTACATTGACATTTAGAAGGTCTCTTCTGATTAAAGCTATCAATACAGGAATCAAAAGACAGGCTAGAAATTGGGCAAACATATCTGTCATGCATCTATCTGACAAAAGATTATCCATATAAACATCTACAAATCAATAACAAATGACAACAGTACAGAAAATGGGAAGACATCTTAAACATGCACTTTATAAAAGTAATCTCATGACAATTATTTAATCTCATTGGAATCATGGAAATGCAAGTTAAAACCATAAAACCAGTTCACATCTACCAGGATGGCTAAAATACTTGTATGTTTTGGATTTTATTTGGGGGTGGGATTGCCTTTTTTTTCCTCTGGTCCATTTGAAATTCAGAAATAGATCCAGTTGTATCTATTTGTCAGATTCTTTTTAATTTTACTTTGTTTTGTATTTTATTATTTCAATAATAATTTTTTGCTAGTTCCATGTATTTTATCACTATATCCTAAGTAATTATTTAAACTTAACTTTTACCAGTATTATTACTCTTTTTTAAGTTCATTGTCTTCCCCTTTAAATATCTTTATTTGCCTTTACATTTGAGCAATTTATCTCTGAGTGGAAATCAGTTTTATAAACTTTCCCCACTATGTTCTGGGAGACATGCTAAGAGTTTTATGTGTATAAATGTTTACTTTCCACATTGCTCAAGGTAAATGCCAACTCTTCACTGTAACCTATAACACTGTATATCATGCAAACCACATATGCAATTTAAATTTTTTAGTAGCCAGCATAAGGATTTGAAAAGAAACAGATGAAACCAATTTTAATAACATGGTTTATTTAACCCAATATATCAAAAATAGTATTATTTAAATGTATCAATATTAAATTATGAATGAAATATTTCACATGCCTTTGTTCAACTAAATCTTCAAAATCCAGTATATATGTCACATTTACTGCACATCTCATTTCAGAACTGCATCTCAAGTGCTTAAGAGTCACATTAGTCTGGTGGCTTCCACATTGGACAGTATAGCCCTCTATGGTGTGCTGTCCCCACTACAAAGAGGTAAAAGATCCTATTACCTCTTTGACATCATTTTTATTGCCACCCCTATTTCCCATTTCCCTCTGGCTATGCTGGCCTCCCTGCCAGGCCTTAAACCAAAAGGTCTGCAAGGGTCTTTGTACCAGCTGTCCTCTCTGCCTGGAACTTCCCTCTAAACAGATGCCTGTGGCTTATCACTTACCTATAGGGTCTCTATTCAATCATTACCTCAATAAAGGAGCTTTCTGAAGTCCTACCTAAAACATGCCCACCCTCTGACAGCACTCCCCATCAGATGTTCTTTCACATACTTTATATTTGTCTATTAATTGCCTCTCTCTTCTACCAGTTGCTTGTCTATGAAGGCAAGGAACATATCTGCTCTAGTCATAGCTGTACTCCCAAAGCCCAGGTCAGTCTAGCAGGATGGAAATTTGTTACTGATTCTGCATACCACCTCTATGGAGTAGATTCTGTCACTCTGCTTTTACAGATGGGGACAGCGAGACTGAGAGTCAGTAAAATGGGTGACTTATGCAAGCAAGTTCATGCAGTGTGTGGCCTGCAGTCAGGACTTGAACAAGGGTCCTTCTGAACCAAAGCATAAAATTTTAACCAGCTCATTTGAACATTTGCCTCAGTGTGGAGTTTATTTTGAGTATATTTTGAATATATTTTGTTTTGTTTTTGAAATGATAAACATTTTTAAAAATTTTATTGTTGTTCAAGTACAGTTGTCTGCCTTTTCACCCCACCACTCCCCCCAACCCCAGCCATCTGACCTTCCTCCCCTGATTCCACCCCCTGCCTTGGTTTTGCCCCAGTGTCCTTTATATTTGTTCCTGAAAACCCTTCCTCTTTTTGCCACCCTCCCCCATTATCCCCTCCCACTTTCCCTCTAGCTACTATCAGTTTGTTCTTAATTTCAATGTCTCTGGTTATATTTTGTTTGCTTGTTTATTTTGTTCATTAGGTTCCACTTAAGGGTGAGATCATATGATATTTGTCCCTCACTGCCTGGCTTATTTCACTTAGCATAGTGCTCTACAGTTCCATCCATGCTGTTGTAAGGGTAGGAGCTCCTTCTTTCTTTCTGCTGCATAGAATTCCATTGTGTAAATGTACCATAGTTTTTTTTTGATCCATTCCTTTACTGACGTACACTTAGGTTGCTTCCAGCACTTGGCTATTGTCAATTGTGCTGCTATGAACATTGGGCTGCACAAAATCTCCATACTGCCCAAAGTGATTTACATATTTAACAGATCCCCACTAAAGTACCAATGACATGTTCCACAGATATATAACAAACATCTCAGAAATTTATATGGAACCATAAATGACCCCAAATAGCTGCAACAATATTGAGAAAGAAGAACAAAATAGGGATTACAATACTTTATGCCAAACTGTATTACAAGACCACTGTAATCAAAACAGCCTGCTACTGGCATAAAAACAGGCACATAGACCAATGGAACAGAATAGAGAACCTCAAAATAAACCCAAGTCTCTATGGTCAATTGATATTTGACAAAGGGAGTAGCAGCATAAAATGAAGTAAAAATAGCATCTTCAACAAATGGTGTTAGGAGAGCTGGTCAGCTACATGCAAAAAAATGAAACTCGATCACCAACTTACACCATAAACAAAAAAAAATTCAAGGTGGATAAAAGACTTAAATGTAAGTCGTGAGCATGGTTCTAATGTCCTGTCATGGCTAGACCTCCCACCCCTGCTGCTCTATGCCCAGATTTCTTACGCTTGTGTTGGAAAAGTTGGTTCACTTGTTTTCCAAAGAGAGCCTTCTTTTGCCTACAGTGAATTGTGGGTTCATACAATACAGTTCCATTTAGTTCATATCATCAACAATTCTTCATCAGTTGTCCTCTGTTCACTACCCTCATCTTTAAATGCAGCAGCAGACTATTTACTGATTTGAAAAGATCTCTGGTCATTCAGGAGGCTTTTGGAAACTGGATTGAACAGGAAAGCTGAAACTACCGATTTTCCTTGCCTTGGAGCATCCTGTGTCCCTCCCATGAGACTCAGTCTCCCCAGACAGGCTGAACTCATTCTCCTCTCAACTATGCATTCCACTGTACATCAGCATGGGTATGTGTGCATCTGTTTTAGATTCTTTATCCTTAATTCTGATATTTATCAACAACCTCAAGAGTAACTATGACTTG